TTTCAATAATTGTGCAAACGATACAGACTCTCACTTGTCTTCCTCCTAATTAAGTTACTACATACGGTCACACACCACTAATTCAAATCTCAACTTCAAAAATTCACATTTTTAAATTAGTTACTCTCCAGTTGTGGGATTTGGTCCTAAAGGGATTGTGGGATTTGGTCCTAAAGAAGGCACACCATCCTAACTTCCAAAGGTTAAAGCCCCTTTGGCAACTGACATGGACATACCTAGACTCCAGAGGCACGCTGTCCCTTTGGCATTTCCAGGATGCACCAACTACGTCAGTTGCCTTACTTTGCAAGCCTTAGTAACCCTAAAGGCTCAGCTTGGTAGTCACACTTGGTTAACTCGGGACCAATTAGTCATGCAATGTCATTTATTTATCGTGAAGATCGCTTCCCAAATGACCGGTTTATTTGGACTTCACTAATAATTATTTCATGAGAGCTTTTTCAGCGCTGCTCATGTGCATGTGTGGAATTCACACTGTGAGGGTGATCTAAGAATGGATTTATTTTGGGGGAGAAACATGAACGGAATGGCACTTTTTCTTTACTTTGCCAGCTTGCTCCTTCTCTGGGAGAGAAGAATTGGATTTTATCCCTTTAAAAGAGCCCGGTGAGCTGCTGTGTTTATAATCCTCAAGTCCCATGATTTGATCTCCCATCTCCCAGCTTTGCTCCACACACGCCTGCTAACATTGGTTTAGATCTGACTTTTCTTTGCTCAAGAAGAACAAGATTTGTTACTAGTCAGAAGACAGCAGATCCCAATATTTTAGGAGGAAAAATAAACAAAGTCTAGTCTGCCGGCAGGAACCATGCTCCGGCTCCCCTGGATCTTCTGAAAGTGGTCACCCAGTTATGACACTGCTGCTTGCGTTGGTCTCGAAGGTGTTAAGATGTCTAAATGCTCCTACCTATTTGCTCCTGTGATTCCCAAAGTCACCCTGTAAAGTGTGTTGGGAGGAAAAAGAATAACAGTCATTCATGCATTTATGTCGTGTTTATTTACTGAGAGCGGTACAAACTCTAGAGACAGGGCATTGCCAGGCACCCAGAACTGAGGATATACCAGGGCCCAAGGCAGACAAGGCCCTGTCCTTAGGTAGCTTAGAGGCTGGTGGGTCATGGTCTCCCACCATGAGGCAGAGACCCCAGTAAAGAGTCTCGATGCCTTCTTTCACTTGCTACTCATAACAGACTGTGAGAACGTTCTTATTAATCTCATTCTGTGGATGGGATAACCCAAACTCCCAGAGGTTAAGTGACCTGAGTAAAGTCATGGGCTGCTAAGCAGGAGAGTCAAGGCTCAGACTGGGGCTTCCTCATCCAAGGCTGCTGATTGAGTCCTGGATTCTTCCCAAACAGTGTAATCTCATGTCAACCCAGATCAATTCAAGCTCTCTTTTTCACTTTCCCACATCTCATAGTTAGGCTTAAAAAAGTATCTGTTGCAATAGATATTGAGCATCTAAAATTAGTGATTTTGAGGATCTAACCTTTATAGAGGCTCAGAGAAGAGCATGGGAAAGTCTTTTTTTTTTTTTTTTTTTTTGATTGTTCATTGCAAAATTGTTTGTAATTGCATTCTAAATGTCCAAACGGAAGTAATTGAAGGATGGTATTATCCATACAGTGGAATACTATGAAACTATAAAATAACAATAATAAGGATGATCTTGAGACCAGTGGTGTAGGCAGAGTGGGAGAGGGGGTCTGGAGTGGAAAGGAGATGGGGGTTAGCTCTGAGAGGTGATCCAGGAATTCCCAAAGGCTGACACTGACTCAGTAATTCACCAGGTCAGTTTGAAATGAGTCATTTTGTGGCACGGGGGCAAACAACCTCTGTCCCTCCACTAAACTATCGGGAAGGCAGGCAAAAGATTTCCCCTGGGAGAAGAATCCTAATTACAATACTGAGAATTTGCATGCCCCTCTACAGTTTGCAAAACACTTTCACACCCATCTCTTCCGTTTGCTGAATGTTTACTGCACAAGTGCAGAAAGGACCAGGGTTCAAGATGACCTAGTCTAGTGGTTTTTATACACAGTTTTTGATTGAAGTAAAATCCTTTGTCAAAATGAAATCTCACACAGTAGTCTAGTATATAACATTGATGCGAGTGGGACTTCTGTGGCTGGGATGGGGGAGGAACAACCCATGCCTAAGCCTTTGCTTTGACCTCTGTGTTTCTGAAGGGTCTCCAAAGAACCGCCTAGTTCCATGAAACAGAAAGACAAACATTGTTTCTAGCATTTCTAGTGAATATAAATACCCATCCCACATTTTCCCCCCTCCTCCAAAAAAAGAAAGCTGAAAGCCCTGGAAGTGACATGAGATGGCCAAGGCCATTCCTTGTCCAGTGCTCTTTCCATGGAACCCACTAGGGCTTGTTTCTTGGTGGTTAGAGCCTGAGGATCTGCTTGGAAGCCCGTGTGCCCCCAGTTGCTGCAGGAACGTGTCCTCTTCATCACAGAGAGCAGTAGCGTCAACTCTGCTGCTACTGGTAGCATTATCAACGTGCCTGGTCGTCAGCTGGGGCTCAGAGGCATTGTCTTTGTTTCACACAGGCCACCCCATGAGAGAGTCGTGGAATGCCAGCCACTGAGCATTTGGGGAGTAGTGGGTCCAGTAATTTTTTTAGCCTCAAACACTGTCCCTGAAAATGCAAGAAGAGCAGCCTATAGTCAAGCAGCCTCTCCCCAACTCAAAAACTTACACTGAACTAGATAGTGTTTGTTATTGGCTAAATGTTTGTCTCCCCTGCAAGTTCGTATGTTGAAATCTTAACCCCCAGTGTGAGAGTATTAGGAGGTGGGGGCTTTGAGAGGTAATTAGGTCATGTGAATGGAGCTCTCATGAATGGGATTAGTGCCTTTATAAGAAGGGACACACAAGAGAGCTTGTCCTTTCTCTCTCTCTCTCTCTCTCTCTCTCTCTCTCTCTCTCTCTCTCTCCCTCCATCCCCCTCTCTCCCTCTTGTGAGGATAGGAGAAGACAGAGAAGATGACCATCTGCAAGCCAGAAGAGTGTTCTCACCAGAACCAGACCATGTTGGCACCCCGATCTTGGACTTCTCAGCCTCCAGAACTGTGAGAAATAAATTCCTGTGGTGTAAGCCACCCAGTCTGTAGCATTTTGTTACAGCAGCCCGAACTAAAATAATGGCGATGGCTGCACAATTTTGTGACTGTATGAAATGCTACCTAATGGCTAAAATGTTAAATTTTATGTTAGGTGTATTTGAGTACAACAACGACAATAATAAACTTACATTGGCTCCCTATTTCTTAAGGATCAGACTTCCTAGTATAATTTACAAACTGGCCCCTGCTTCCCCCCCGCCAGCCTCATGCCTTGCTGTCCCCCTTCAACCTTTTCATCTGATCAAATGTTCCAACTGCTCTCCAAAGTCAAAAGGGGATTACTTTCCCTTGGAAATTCTGGCAAGGCTCCTTCGGGGTCTTGTCACAGTTACTGGTAACCACTATCATTTTCTGTGTGTCTCACCAGGCAAGAATTCCATTCAGATTTAGCTTCAGTCGTCCACATTAACAATAAATACCGTTTTTGCTTTTCAAATATTAAACCACAATGTTATAGATAGATATGAAATTATGATGCAAAGTATTGTTTTTCAAACTCAAAACGCCTCTGCTGACGAACAGACAACCTCCTCCCTTTTTTGAGGTTTGCCAAGTAGGATAGATGGGGGGGAAGTGGATTAACGTTTGCATAGATAGGAGTATACATGGAAGCAAGAAAGAAGGGAGAGATAAAATGATGAAAGGATATGTGGATGATAGATGGTTGAATGATGGATGAATACATGTATGAACAGACATGTAGGTGGGTGGATGGAGAAGAGAATAGTGTATAGATGGATGTAGATTTACAAAGAGATGTGAAAAGCTTAAGAAAGATGGATGAGAAGCTGTATGGGAGGGGCGTTGGAAGAATATGTGGTTGGGTGGATGGACAGATGAAAGGATGTGTGGTTGGATAAATGGATGGACAAGAGGCTGTGGATGGATGTGAGCGCATACTGGATGGACAGGAGGATGGAGAGATGTGTGAGCCCTGGAGGGATGTAAGGTAAGATGGGCAGATAGACGAATGCGTGGATGGAAGGATGTTTGGGAGGATGAATGAGGGTGTGCGTGAGAGGGTGGAAAAATGGGTGGATGGATCCAGATGCCAGCCCAGGACTGGAAGATGACACATAGGTCAGTGAAGCCAAATACCAGCCCCATGGCTGGCTATCATTAGCTTTCTCCAAGCAGTCCTGATAAGAATCAAAAATTCACCTGAGGTATGTGGACTTCCTTCTCTTTCAAGAGAAGAATGAGCTCTTCCTCTCTCCCCTGGGAAGAATCGCAAGCTCCCCACCATGGGCAGGGAAAAACCACTCTCCCGCTGTCCCGGCTCCTCTCCCAGAATATCCAACTGCCTGTGAAACCCAGAAAGAAGAGTTCCCCAGCCAGAGTCAAAGAGAAACCTAGCGGAGAGGAGAGGCCAGAGGCTGAACCCAACGGCGCGAGGTTTTAGGACTCAGTCATTCCCTCCTGCGTCCAGAGGCTGCGCTCCCACACGCCGGGAGAGGAAAGCCGGTGCGCCCCGGGTGCACGGGGACCCCGCGGCTCTCCGGGCGCCCGCCCAGGCATCCCCACGCTTTACCAGCTCCGAGGAGAATGGGGCGGGGGCGGAGGGACCAGCGCCAAGGAGAGCTGGTATGTCTTTAAACTTCTGCCGGCTGCTTAGTCACAGCCCCCTCGCTTGGGTGTGTCCTTCCTCGCTCCCTCCCTCTTAGGTCACTCTCTCAGCCGTCGAATAAAAACTGCACCCAACTTCCGAGGCGCCCTCATTGCCAGCCGGACCCCAGCCTCCGACAGGTTCGGGCGCCCTGCTCGCCCCGTGCTCCGCTGCCCCCCGCCCAGCGCCCGGCCCCTCCGGCTCCACTCGCTTGCTTTCTCGGCCGCTCCGACGCCATGGACACGTTCTGGTGGCGCGCAGCTTGGGGACTCTGCCTCGTGCAGCTGAGTCTGGCGCAGATCGGTGAGTGCCCGCGGGGGCGGCGGGAGGGAGTGGCCCGAGTGGCCGGGACGCAGCCGGCAGCCGCGCGGGCTGAGTTGGCCCTGGGGGGCCGGAGTCAAATGGGCGGCGAGCGGCTGGGATTTGGTGGAGAGCGGGGCGAGGATTTGCGCTAAGCTCTTGGAGAGCCTGTCGGTGGGAAGCACCGTTTTGTTGAAAGGAAAAGAGAAAGAGCGAAGAAAAGTTTGCCGGGCAGGCTGCCGGCGCGCAGCCGTGGGTGAGGTCTTTGCAGCCGGAGGAGCACAGGGCAGAAAGCAACTATTCCTGGGTGCGCGCAGCCCGTGTCTGGACTAACAGGCTCCTGTGCCCAAAGGCGCTTGAAGCCTGGCTGGGCAGTGGCCGGGCAGCGAAGAACTGGGCAGGGCAGGAACAGGGACTGGGGCAGAGGCAGGGGCTGGGGCAGGGACAGGGCTGTTAGCGAGGTGACCGTAGAGGTGGGCACAGTTGCCATGCGTGAGAGCTGGTGGCAGTAAGCTTTCCAGAAAGGGGTCCTGGCTTCCTGCGGCTCCCCCACTGCGCCTGGGTTCCAAAGCTCTTACAGTTGGCTCCGGTCACTAACGATCTTAATGCTTGTGGGAACTTGAACTAGCTCTGTGGCGAGGTTCTGGGTCACCACGAGGTGCCAGCCTGGGGCAAGGAGTGTGAGTAGGAGAGGCAATGACTGGCCAGCTGCTCCATCCTTGCAGCCTCCTGCTTCTGCCAGTGAGTTAGGGGAAATCCAGATAGTAATGTGACTCCTATGTGCCGCCTGTCAGCCTCAGAGCAGGAGGGGCCACCTGGGCTCCAGGGGGGGCATCAGGGATCCTGGAGCTGGGCTGCCAATATCCCATCCCAGCAGGGTCTGTGCCTTTCGGTGGCTGTGGATGGAGTGGCTGTGTGTGAGAGGTTCTGGTGAGGCTGAACTCCAAGCATTCCTTTGTCTATATATCTACAGATAATCACATGGCTGATTTGCTTATCACCGGCAAAATTAATTTTTCTTTTAAGAAGTGCCAGCTGGGTCATTAAGACAGCTCAGCCTATGGGTAATTCCATTCAACAAGTATTTATTAAACCCAGCTCTGGGGGTACCAAGAAAGTAAAAGACACAGTCCTACCTGGGTGCTTTAGACTGAGGATAAGTGGGGATCTAGGATTTAGATTCCTGAAACAGAAAAAGTAATACTTAATAATAATAATTAGTAGTCAGAGGAATGACAGCAGTAGCCACCATTTATTATACAGTTAGGCTGTGCCAGGCACTGTGCTAAATTCTTTACATGCGTTCTCTCATTTTACCCTCACAATGGCCAAGTGAGACGTGTTGTGTTGTTAGTCCTGTTTTATAGGAGGGAAACCAACTGAAGCTCAGAGAGGTTAAGTGACTTGCTGGTGTTCACACAGCCAAGAGGATTGGTGCTCATGTGAACCAGGCCCCTTAGCCTCTTGCTTAGGCAGAATCCAGCAGGCTGTATGTATGGCATGGACAAACTCGGAAAGGATTTTATGGAAGGAGGGGTCGGGTCGTGGTGGACCAGAGGCCTTAGAGGAGGCTTCCAAAGGGAACTGGAGCTCCAAGGAGTCCTTGAAAGGCAGAGAAGAGGGAAAGATTTCAGGGAGAGCTGTGAGCTTGGCCTCAGGGAGGAGGGACCATGCTGGTGCCTCCATGGCCTCTAGGGAAGTTTATTTGTATGTTACTTCCCGTGACATCTTCTGCTTTGATTCTGAGGATTCTGACTCCCCACTCCTTACATTCTTAGCCCTGATTCTTCTCAAGGGCCCCATCCCCCAATATTTGGCACCGTCCTGACCCTTGAAGTTCTCCCCGAGACCAGTGGGCTCCTTCCTGCCCTGCGTTTCCGTGGTTCCCTTTGGGCAGCGTCACTTGGAGGAAGCACAGAAAAGTGCCAGTAGCAATAACTGCCTGGACCCGGGCTTTCGTGTGCTTGTAAAGTTGTTTGGAAGGAACTGAGACTTGGAAAGGAGATGTGACCTAACAGCGGGCTCGGGCTGGGCAGGAAGAAAGAGGAAGGAGAAAGGGGAATTGGGGAGGCTCTGCTGCTGCCCCACCAGCAGAGGCAGTGGGCTGTGGAGGACAGTGAGGAAACTCTGGAAAGGGGCGAGTTTTGGGGGAGGAAGAAAGCGTCCAGTCTTCATACTGGAAAGCAAGAAGTAGAGACATGGCCCAATGCAGTTAAGCAGCATTGGACCCAGACTCTCTAAGTTGGAGAACAGATATCTTGAACTAGGTGTCACATGTGGAAGGAAGAAACTGGCCCTGGGTAGAGGGCAGTGCGACGAGCCCTCCATACCTCTCCGTCTCCTTTTCTCTGTGGGTGAGAGGTCGCTGCTAGGGAATTGTGCCCCCGGTGTTTAGAAAGAGGGGTGCATCTGAGACCTCTGGGGCTTGTGGGTGGCCGGCACCCTTCTGATCCCTCTGAGCATTAAAGACCTCTCTTTCTGGGAGTTAGAGCTTTGGCTGTGTTTTCCCAGGTGAAGAAGAAAGGAAGCAAACCTCCACTGCTGCTGAGGTGATTTAGCATCAGTTAATTCAGTTGTGCCCCAAAAACACAATGGACATCTTACTTCCTGCAAAGGCACAGTAGGTGTGTTTGAGGCTAGCAGCCAGTAGGAAAAGTTTCCATTCTTTTTCCAAATTGCCCCACGCAGGAAAGGATGCTGGGCAGCGTGAAATTCTTAGTTTATGACAGATCCCCTTCCATTCAGTCAAGAAATATTTCCTGACTCACTGTCATAGACGCAGAGATGGTGACTCCAAAGATCATTTAGAAAAGCGCTTTCTTTTTCCCAAGGAGAAAACAGATCCCAAAAAGGGAGAGAAAGGTGATTTCCCCTCTCTCAGGCCAAGTGTTAGTGCAGGATGCTTTCCAAACCTCAGGTCTCTGAAACACCTTGATCTTCAAGGACTGTAACAGCTCCACCTCTACTCCCTGCAGGGGGTGGGGAGAGTGTGGTCCACTGACGTAGCAACATTTGTTTCATGCCTGAAATACTGTCTTAAATACTCATTACAATTTTGCATTTTCCTCCACAATATACCCAGTTTAATATAAGAATAATGATATATTTCTTATAATCAAGCAAAGTTGCTGCTTGGGGAACAGTCTCTATACTGTCTAGGGTCTCCTGGAGTGTTGCTGGATCCCTCCCAGTTAGGAGCACCCCAGCTTTAAAAGCCTGTTGTTCTGCTCCTCTTGAAGTAGGGACCTAAGTCCCCAGGAAATACCATTTGCTGAGCACTGACTCGTGCTAGGCATTCAGCCAGGGGCTTTGAATAGGTTATATCCTATATAAGCCTCATGACAGCTCTATGTACATTTAGCACTCTCTTCATTCCATTTTCTAGATAAAGAAATTGAGACTCAGGGAGTTGATATGACTCCCTCAAGGACACACAGCTAGTGAGTGATGGAGTTTTATAACATCCCCCATGGTAGACTCCCATGCCTGTGTTCCTTTGACTCACTGCCTTGCCTCTGGAGGACTTTGGAAATTGTGTGAGGCCAGTGAACATGAAGCCTGGTATGAGTGGCTTTCCTCTCCCCGCTGGCAGGCTGAGGACTCTTGGCTGCCCTGCTCTGCCCTGGCCTGTCTCTCCCCAGGCCTGGCCACAGCTGTCAAGAGATGCCAACCTAGTTATTTGTTACTAAAATAAGTCAATTCCCTTATCAGAGTCCAGCTGCCCTTCTAGACATGCTCTCATTTGCAGGCTTGGAAAAAAGGGAGAGGCTGTTCCTTGTCTAAGAGACAAGTCAGGGCAAGGCCTTTTGCCTGGAAATTAAGAAAGGGGCCCTGCAGAGGCTCTGACCCCGCAAGCATTCTGGGTACAATGACCCAGGAAGCCCCCTTATCCCATGCTCAATGGAAACCCTCAGCATTTAGCAGGTCATACGTGCCCAGTGAGGGAGAGTCTTGAGGACCCCGGTCATGGGCTGACACGGTTCTCTAGAAAACTCAGGGGTCTTGAATGGAAAGTCATTGTGGGGCTCTAGGTGAAACGTGCTCACTCAAGTGAGATTTCAGTTTGGCCTTGGGTGTCAGATGGTTCCAGGCGGGCGTCCCTGATGGAGAGGAGGTGGTGGGAGCGAAGCCGGCCTCCCCAGCCAGCCATCCTGGCTGGGATGGGGGCTGAGATACTGGCTGCCATTGTGTTTCCCCTGCACCTCCTTTTCAGCTGACTCTACCCAGAGCCTGAAAGGGAAGTGGGTCTTGTGAAAGAATGAACTGAAGCAGGTGGCAGATGCCACCATACAAAGTGCAGTTCTCAAAGGGGATCTTTTCTGCCTCAGAGAGAAATTCTGGGGGTTTGCACAGCCAGAAGCTGATGACTCAAGTTCCTTTGTGTCCCCTCTTGAATGGGAAGCACACAAGTGTTATTTAGAATCACCAGGGGAGGCTGGTGCCTCCAACCTTAAATTGAAACCCCACTTTTCACTCCCTTAGCAAGCTGATATTTTTCTTAAAAAGGGCCCTCCCCCAAAGCTGGCCAGCAAGGGTTTGGGAAGTTTGTGGCTGCGGAGTCTGGCTTGGCATGGACGCAGTTGTTGGGCACTCCAGATTTTCCAGGAGTGTCAGGATTTCAAATATGCAAATACTCTACCAATTGAAACCTAGTGTATATTTTGACTAAATATTTATATTTTTTTCTACAAATAAGTACATGGCTTTGTGTGATTAGAAGTCAGGAACTTGCATGGATTTTTGCATAAATGAAAATCACATTTATACAACTCGTGAATCAGTCTAGTGTCCGATTAAATTGATATTTGGTTCAGAAAATGTGTACTTTTGGAGAGGAACCTTTGTATTCCTCTGCTCTCCATTTTTTGATCACCCCAATATGTGAGGTACCAAGAAAAGCTACATATAGAGTTTTTGCTTGCTAGGTGTGGACGCACACAAGGTGTGGGTGTGCCCGTAGGTATATATGCATCTGAACACATGTGTCTACACATAACGTGGGT